GGGTGAGGGGAGGACGGGGGAGGGATGCTCGCTGTTCTGCAGCATTCTTTTGGGGATTATTAAAAAATGTAGGCACAAAGAAGCATCACTGGAAGTGATTGTAATTCTGAGATAACTTACTGCCCACCACAACCCAAGTGGGATGCTTTGAAATTGATTTTCCGGGTTCACTTCGATGCGCTCTGCATAATAAACCAATGAGGCGAATACAACGATGCCAAGGACCAGAAAAAATACCAGTAACATCAATTCTTTGGCACTTGCCCTAAAATGCAGTTCCGGTGAGTGTGCCGCGCTACAAAACAGGAGCAGCACAGATTTGTTGTTACGACTCAAGAATAATCAGAATGTGTTTTATTAAACAGATTGGCAGAGACCTCAAGTACCACTCTGCTTTTGCATATTTGTCAAGGATCTTTCAGAACGTGGCATTTGCGACATAAGAAACAATTGCGTGAGCGATGTAGGGATGAGGTAATGCGCATCCGCAGTGGGCCCTGCGGATCGAGAAATAGTGTAAATCGGAGGACTTCAAAATTGCTACTCCTGCAGAAAATTATATCAGTATTAATAGCTTCTTGTTGATTATCCAAGCGACCTTGTTATGACTGCAAGTCCATTTCTTCGAATGAGGACTGTCTCCCAATGAAATCCACCTAATCAAGTTCGATTTGGCGTAGAACGTGGGCCTCGGCACAAAAGAGTAAGAATATAAAGTAAGAAAATAAGAATAAGTTGTATAAGAGTAAGAAAAAAGTTGTAAGAGACCTTTTTTCTTGTATGACACACATACAATTATGAGACACATTGTTGTATGAGACACATAAGAGTAAGAAAAAAAAAGTTGCATGAGACCTGAAGGTATGCATAAGAATTTTGAGGCCACTCGAATGCTGAGTTAACTTGAACAGGCGCATAATCCTGATAATTGAAAAAAATTCAAGATCTGCTGTAGCGCCATATGTTGTCATTAACAAATCCAGATAAAATGTAAACGTCGCAATTAAGTCAATTATATTCACCTTAAACGAAGCTTGCTGCTAACAATCGTGGCTGAGTAAAGGGGGTTTTTTTTAATGCGTTTTTTGCAGCTATACAATGCAGAAAGCGCATATTGAAGAATGTTGTCTGTGTGTTCGTGTGTCTGTGTGTGCGTCTGTCACGCACTTTCATCTCAAGACCTATAAAAGCTCCGGGTTTAAAATTTCGGGAACTCAATCTACATGCACGTGCTGGCCCCAGTCCTCAAAATGGGCGCCAACACTCGCGTAGTACCCGCGTACGGGCCTGCCAAAGTTTTTTTCGGGTAAGTTCATAACTCGGGGATCTGAGAAGCTAGAAAGCTGAAATCTTAGGGCAATGTTCCCCGTCCAAGTAGGTATTAACGAGTTTAAACCCTGCCCGCGGGTAAGCGTGGTACCTATGTAGGGGCCCTTGAAAGTTTCTTCCGGGTAAATTGCTAACTCGGGAAAGTGAGAAGCTAGAAGACTGGGATTTTGAAGGGATGCCTCCTGATAGTCCTGGCAACCAGTCTGAAATCCTTTCAGCTAGAAGCATCTGCCAGAAAAACCAGTGCCGTTAGCGACAAAAATCTGCGGGGAGCTATGCAA